AGAGAGAAAGAGAAGGGACGACTGCAGCATAGACACACACACAAAGCTGCCGAGCGAGTCCATGCAAAGAGAACCAAGTCACTCCCAGTTGAACAGGGAACAAAACAAAACCGAGCAACAGCCAGGAGGTGAAACTCTTGGTGATGATGCTAAAGGTGGTTGTTTGGTCTCTGAGTGTTTTGTTTTTTTCTTTCGGATTTTGTTTTTTGGGTTTTTGCTTTTAAAATATGTTTTTCTTGAGGCTTCCTGATGGTTCTTCTCTGTGTGGGGGTGGGGGTGGGCTCTGCCAAGAGCTCCGGCCCACTTAGGTGTGGATGCCCCAGGAGAGATGAGACTTTGCCCCTTGTTCCCCCCCCCCACTCCCCACCCTCCAGCTCAAGGCAGGGCAGGACTTAACGTGTCCAGCCACAGGCTTGCTACTCTGGGAAATCTTCCTTCGCTTCTTCAGCTGGGGAACAACCATTTGGGGAGCGATCTATCCCTATCGCAAAGTTACTTCATCGCCCCCTTTGTTTCTGTCCCTTCCTTCCTGCGTGTGGGTTGCAATTGTGTCTCTGCGGCTGGATGGAGAGCTCTTGTCTCTCCCTCTCTCTCTGCAGAGCTCCGGCTAGATAGATAGAGACGCAAGGCGCTGCTCCGCTCCCCTGTTAGCGACGGAAGAAAATAACGCTCTGATTCATGAAGTCTCAGGGTTAAGCGTGCCCTTCCCCTCTGCCATCCCTACCAGATCTGCCGGAGAGGTTCAGAGGATGGCGGTGCTCGAGGGTCCTGTTAGTAGCAGGGTTTGTTTCACCGAGCAAGCCAACGCAGACCCCAGCGTGCAAGAGGCAGGGTTGGCAAAGGCCATTTCTTTCGGAGGTTCTGCATGCTGAAGAAAACAAAAAGGACCTTTGGGTTTCCAAATCGTTTATTGTAAATAATAAACGTTAGGTAGAGGAATTTTTTTTGGTGGGTTGGTTAAATTTGCACTATCACAGTCTCCCAAATTGGAAAACAAAGATGCTATTCCATCATCATCATCATCACCACCACCACCACCATCACCATCATCATCATCAAGGTGCATTATGTCTAGCGGATCGTGGGGGGCGGGGGGAAGGATACAACTAAAATAAAGAGTTGGTCTGAGCTCGTTAGATAAAACACTAGCGGTGTGCAAAAGACATTCACTGGATCTGGGCTATGGAGTGATTGCCAGTGGTTTTCCTAACAAGGCGTTTGTGGGAAGGACGTACCCTGCTGTTAAAAAACAAAACAAAACAAACAAAAGACTGAAATTATGCCTGGCCTGGGGTGGGGGGGGGGGGGGGGGGGGGGGGGGTGAGGCACAGAAAGATCCGTGATAAGGTCTCGATATTATTTATATATTTATTTGAGGATTGATTTATTTTCTGCATCATTGTTTGCAGCGCAAACATTCTATGCATTTGAAACTGAGCACTAAATAGACTAGCTTCTGGTAGAACCTTTTGTGGATGGTGTAATTTCACAGTTTACTGCCTGTTTTCACCGAAAACACAAACATTTCTTGTCACGTTCTTGTACTTAGATTTAAAAGGAAAAAAAAAAGGAAGAGAATTGTAAATATTTTCTTTAATGCACACAAAAAAATGGTTACAAACTGCAACCACGTGTGGTTCCTGAAATGTCTCACTGAATTATCTACCTGTCCATGTATGTTTGCTGAGCTTTTCTCCTTGGTTGTGTCTTTCCTATATTACTTTAATTTCTATCAGAAATATTTCTGTACGCCAAAATACAACAGGGAGATGCGTCCCAGCACACTTACAAATAAAGCAAACATGAGAACAGAATAGTTTATTATTACTATTATTTATTATTATTATTTATTATTATTATTAGGTGCATTCTTTTAAAATTTATTTCTGGGGCACGGCTGACAAATTCCAGATATAGCCGTTAGACAAATGAGACTAATTCTACCAAAAAATAGTGAGAGATGTATTTTTCTGCTAAATTCAGAAATCATTACTTTGAGATAGCTCTTATGTGAAAAAATCGGGGCTCCGAATAAAATTAACTATATATTAGCTGCGTGTGTTTCTTGAAGTTTATTCTATAACTGCAGAAAATATAAGTCAAAGTAAAATTAAGAAAAAAAAGGACTTCTGAAGTATTTCTTTTCAGTTTGCTGGAAAGGATTATGCACCTACAAAATATGTATAAAGAAAAAAAACTTGGGTGGTTTCAGGTTTATATGTTGTTCTGACTGGCCTAATTGCACTTACTTATGTAACGAAATACTTTATTTTTATTTTGGGTTAATAAATATAAAAATCATAAACTGATCTCTCCTTCTGTTGTAAATGCAATTGTTCATTAGGAACGTATAGGATGCCACCTACTGCTTCAAGTGTTCAAAGAACCTCCTTCTATTTTCTGATGACCTGTGATTAGATGGGATGCCAAATGTAAAAAGTTACTTCATAGCTGGGATTCTTTCTTCTGTAGACATATTTTAGCCAAATCTTTTTAATTTCGCCGGTAAATCTGTGAATCAAGACACTTACGTGATGTTCGGAAAAGAATAATACGTTAAAAAGCTGTGATTTTAAACAACTGTTGATGTTAAAAAAAAAAGCACTAAAGGTATTTTTAAAAGAATAGATCTCGTCCACCGGAACTATACTTGTTTCTGTTGTTGTTAACTTGAAATGTCATCAGAATTTTTAATAAATACATTTGTAAAAAATATTATTTTATAGAAAAGTATTACCGGATATCATTTTTGGAGAGCCAGGAATGAGCAAATAAAATAAATTACAAAGGTTGTTTTTCTTTTTAATCTGCCCCCAAAACTGAAAATGTTACAGGCGACAACACACTTGTATTATACAATAACTGATGACCGCTGTATGTACTGAAAAGTGAAGAAGTTTGTTTTGTGTTCAACCCAGCCCTTACCAAGTTCAAAGAAGATACTATGTTAATAAAACAGCTCCTGGGAAAAAAAATCAACGCTTTGCAGAGTTTCCTATTTTTGATGGTAGGAAACTGTGCAAAACCGGAAGGCTTTGCTTTCCGTTGGATGGGTCGGAGCCTTTATAAACGGCTCATTGGCCAAACAAGAGAAAAGAAAAGAAAAGGAAAGGGAAAAAACTCAGGAAAAGAAATGTGGGTGCAGAAGCAGGTCACACCAGAACGGCATAAACTTTTTCTTCATAAAAAGAGGGACAATTAATTCCTGTATATTGTCATGAAATAGGTAATCGCCTGAGCAAAGGAATATGAGTTCAATGCCAGCCATTTAGTATGATTCTCCTTGTCCTATTAAAAATAGCCAGTGCTGGGTAAAGTTGCTGGTCCATGGCTGAATCTACAATCTACCGCCTTCGCAGCTTCCCTCCTGTTTGTCAATTTCTCGTCAATTTCATTTTCGCCCTACATTTGATTCCTGTTTGTCCCTCCATTCCCACCTCCTCGTCAATTTCTCGACAATTTCATTTTCTCCTTACTACATTTGATGCATCTTGTCGAGGTTTTATTTATTACTGTATTTATTTTCCTGCCCTGATTTTCGAGCCAGGGTGCTTCAGACCTAGCCTGACTTGCGGAATTTCTGTTTAACACTTGTTCTCCAATTGCTTTCAACTTAGATTAGCCCATCATAAATGAATAATAGACACCCACTGCCATGATCGTATTGATTTTTACTCTCCTGTGATATTAAGACTAATTTGATCCTGGTTCAACAAGTAAAAGGCTCCCAGGAAAGAGACTGAAGTGTTCTAGCGCAGAGGTTTTATGGTTCATATTCCTTCCCGCATCCCCCCCTGTCCTCCCAATAGCGACAGGTCTGTCCAAAGATAATTATTTTAATTCTGCCGGACTCGATTGCATCTAGGTGCTGCTGCCACTGCGCTACGTTATCCCGGCTTTTCCCAAACGAGTTGAAACCCCTCCAGTTATTTATGTCTTGCTTGTGCAGCCGATGTCTTTTTTATATATATGTAAAAGCTTGATTATATTTACCCGCTGCTTCAAAAAAGGGGGCGGGGAGGGGGCGAAGAATAAGAGGAGAACAGCTTAATTGATTTTAAAATCTCAGCAGCAGAATTCCAATTCGCCTGGGACCCTATTTCCACCTGCGAGACAAGCACATCCTTATCAGTAATGATGTTATTTAACAGTTAATAAAATATTAGACCTCGCTGCTGCCTAGGCCGGTCCTTTTCCTCCTCAGTACAAATGGGGCCTATGCCAGGGATCCCTGGTTCTGTAGAGCAGCTCTCGATCACGTGCGCTTCCGAAGGCTTGCTGCAAATACAATTACAGAGCCTGCAGTGAATAATTCATGGGCTGAGATTTGGAAAATTAATAAAATGAATTATAACAAGAGTCTAATTAAAAACTTTAGTAATTGTTGTCAAGACAGCTTGATGGGAGGTGTGCTGCACGGGAAGCTGTGGGGGGAGGGGGAAGCCCCTTGCTTTTGGAAAATAGGTGTTTTTTTCTTTTGGGAAACCCGACAAAGTGAACCGGGCCAGGTGTGCAGAAGGAGAGCGGGTGCGTGTTCGTGTGTATATGTGTGTGTGTGTGTGTGTGGGAGGGGATCTGCACCGGGTTTGATCCGCTTTGGGAAGGCCAGCACTGGAGTCTCTGGCAGGCGACAAAGAATTTAGGAAGTCCAAGCGGTAAAGTGAATCCAAGTCCAGAGCTCGCTTTATTCACACTGGACTGAGCAAACCAGCGACGGGGATCCCCTAGTGCTCCTTCCAGGAGAGCACACAATACAGGGTGCGGACACAAAGGGCTGGCCTCGTCCGCGATCAGAGGGAGTGTCCCCAGCCCTCCCTGTGGGGGCATCAGGCCGGTGCCCGCATAGGGACCGCGGGCTGGGCCCCGCGTAGAAATGTATACACCTCCCAAGTCAGTGACCCCCTCCATCCACCTCCCCTTGCCCTTTGTGCTCGGGCGCCGCGGGGGATCTCCTGCTCTGCTTGCTCCAGCACCAAGGCAAAGAGGAGGGAAGGGAAAGCTGACTGCGGGGTAACGCCGGCCAAGTGGGTGGAATTGCACCGGGGATGCATTTGGTCCTCGCAGGCCACTAATTATGGCTGTCTCCCTGCCTTCAATTCAATCGCGTTGCTCGTGCCGGTTTAAGTAAGTCTTTAGCCTTGATTTAACACGACTTGGAGTTTTATTTCCCTGCTTTCTTGCTTACGGAGAGGCAGAAGAGAGCGACAAGGAACAACCCCTCTTCTCCCCCAACCCTGCACCCTTTAGAAATGGACGGGAGTCAATCTTAGAGCGCTCAGCTGCTTGACAGCAGGGTCAGGGGCCTGCCGCACCCTCTCCTGTCTACTGAGGCCAGGCAGACTTTGGGAGAATCTTAATCCGTGGATTACTGGCACGCTGGACCTTCATGGTTTCCTGCAGCCTATTGTGTCCACGCGAACTTCTTGACATTTCAACTACAGATCCCTGCCGAAGAGTTTGTAATGTCTGAGTCCTCTCAAGGGGTATTTGCATATGCAAAAATAAAATGCTACGCTACGCCGATTGTCCAGTTCTCGGCATCCTTATGGCACACTTTAGTCCCTTTGGAAACGTCGTTTTAAACTTCCTTGTCCCGGGACCCAAAAACATCACTAAGGACGGATCAAAGAAATGCCCTGTTTCCAATCATTTTTTGTTTCAAGGTGACTTAAAAAAAACCCTTTGTCATAAAATGTCTAGCATTTCCTGCTTACATACATGTGTGGGCAACCTGGTCTAAACCGGCTTTGGTAAATAGCTTATCGACGGGCAGTATATACGTGGCAGGTCCGAAGTGATTTTTTTTCAGGAAAGTCAGAGTAATTTCAAAAACCAGTTTCTTACTCATGCTGAGCAACCCTCCTGCCTGAGCACTAAGCCGAAAATAAGGTTCAGTAGTGGAAATGCTGACAAGCACTATGCTTCAGACAGGAGAACACTGCTGCAGATGTCTACATAGAGGCAGAGAAGAGTACACACACACACACACACACACACACACACACACACACAGCCTGCATGAAAGCAACCCAGCTAAAAGGTCTGAGCTAAAGCTCAAATGATTTTAAAAAGATGTTTCTTGACGAGGGGGTATCGTGTCAACACAAACACATCTTTGTACACGTCAGTTTAGAAGAAGACAAGGTGCCTATACACATAACTTGGTCCTTGATTACGGTCATTATGTAAACCGAATTACTAACCGAAGTTTGTTTGGTAACTAATTATAGCTCTCTAAATCTCTGCCTCTCTTCACTTCAGCATAATGTATACAAACTTTTGTACGCACGGATCAGAATAAAACAAAGTGTTGACAGCATCCAGCAGTGGAAATTCACTTACACAAGACTTTTTTTTCACTGAAGTGTTGACAATAAACATTTAATGAAGGCAGAGACTTGGATGTCTCCAGACAGTGTCAGAATACTTTAAACAGACCATTAGCATGGCTTCTTCTACTTCAAACAGAGCACACTATACCATAACATTATAAAAATACAAAGTATGAAACAAATAATCTGTTTATACAGATATTTTAAGCTGTTTTCACCAGTTCTGACATCCCCTGTATTTAGTAACAGAAACTTACTCATTTCAGATTACTCGCGCTTAAAAAATGTTAAATACAGTTAATGCAATATTAATCGCCCTTTGGTGATATAAAATGCAATATTTTCAGGCAGCTATCGAGCTTTTCTAGAGGAAGGGCTGATGAAAACAGTCACAGCTGAATAGTGGAGAGAAAAAAGCTCTGTATTTATTGCTTTTGTTTGGCTTTTGGCTACAGAGACAGGAACATTCTAATGGGGTAAGGACA